CCGTAGAAATGGGAAGGAGGAAGCCCCAAACCCATGCTAGGAAATGTTCTGGCATCCTGTTGTTGGGTTTGTTGTAGAAACACAGAGGATACTATCTCACTAAAGGTAAGCAAAGGCCCTCAAAGTATCTACATGGGGGAAAATATTACAACACCCTGGCGACACGCTAAAAAGGAAGCCCCATTAGACTTTTTGGATACTTTGATATATTCTCTATCAATCCTTATCGGGTTGGGCTTCACCTATTTGTAGTTTGGACATGTGTCAGGCATTAGACGTATATAATATATTGGTCATAACCGATCCAGATACTTTTGTTACACTGGAGATTAGAAAGAAAGGGAAGAAATTGGTCAGAGTTACTGACAAACTCTGATTTTTACATTATTTTTGCAGAGAATGGAAAAAAAATGGAAAGCTGGAAACGGAAAACCCCCTGCAATGTTCTTGATTAAAACTTACTCATAAAAACACTTGCATTGACCACAGCTTCCCAAACATGTTCACGCCACTTAAAGTTAGGATCTTTAGGATTTATTTAAATAAAACTGCCTTTCCAATATCATTCTGGATTACTGAAAAAGTAGCCCGATTAAACAGGCCTAAATTTTAAAGGCCTTGTATCCAAACAAGTCTGAACACTAAATTGGAAAGTTGGAATCATTAAAGCTGCAGTAACCACTTGGTGTTGTTATTGCTTAGTGCTTAATGCTACTAAGAACACCGTTGCAAAGTCTTATTCACTCCAAAACAAGAATGGTGCAGGAAAAAACCTTCGATATCTGCCCAACAGGCCAAGTTGTAATGTGATCACATCTCCTCTAACAAGGGGATTTTCACTGTCAATGTAATTTTTCCTCTTTCAATCCCCAGTGGCACTAATCTATGCTTTACAAAATGCCAGGCTGCACCACATTTCGCTTCAGTGGTGTCGAGATCCCAGCCTACCACTTGGCTCATCTACTTCACTTAGTGGTTTTCATCATTTCTGTGATTCTCAGCTGAGCGCGAGCCCGAACGTGTTCCATTTGCCGCTTTTATCTGTAGGTGGAGAGCGTCAGTGATGGAGACAGACATAGTAGGAGCAAAGGGCTGGCTTAATCCCAGTAGCTGAAGTGTGAGCTGTACCCCTTTAATGAACAGAAAACATAATTTGTTGTTGAACTATAGTCTACTGAGAGTACTGTAGGAGGAAAAACTTCCATCTCCTCCTACAAAATGTTTCTTCCTGACTCTTCCTGACAAATTATTAACCAACCCGTGGTGTGTGAATGCGAGACACCAAATTCTCCTCTTTATAAAAGCTTTACAAAGATGTGCTGGAAATACTGCATTATAATGATGATAAATTATAAGTATTCAAACTTTTCTGCACAAGTCAGTAAAATGCATGACAAACATTTTTTTAAAAATGGACCTAGAACTGCAGTGAAAGTCAAATATTTTATCCCTGGATGGTGCAAATATATCTGCTGGAACACGGGAAACTTTAATATGCAAGAAACTAGGGCTGCACGATTTTGCATAAAATGAGAATCACGATTTTTTTTGCTTAGAATTGAGATCAC